ACGCTTCGCCGGGGCGGGGACGGCGTCGGCTTTCCGGCCCGCGCGGGGAAGCGGTAAGAGCCGCGTTAGGTGGGGCTCTGCCCGGCTCTCCCTGCGGCCTGCCCCCAGCTCCCCTGCGGGAGGTGCTGCTGGAGCCGGCCCGCGGCGGCTCGGGGCTCCGCCTGCGGGAGAGGGGAGAAGAGAGCAGGCACATGCCCGGCAGGTGCTGCCGGTGAGCGAAAGTCACTTCTGCGGGTGTCGCTCCCTGAGTCGGCTCCCCACGCGGTCCCCCGAGCGAGGTCTTGCGTCCAATACCTTGTGTAAAGCTGGCTTCGCTTCAAGGGGCCGGGAGCAAGGTACACCTGATCAAACTCTGTCTGTCTCCAAACAAGGCATATTCTTGTCTCGGCAAAAGATGGGTATAGACTTGTTACACAGATTATTGGTTCAACTCAGTCAAACAGGATTAACTTCTCTCAATCCATGACTTTCAGTTAAGAATTTTATTTAAGAATGTCCATGCTTAATGCATATTCTTCCAAGTATTTTCTGTAGAGATCTGTCTTGCTCAACTTTTTTGAAGTGGAAAGAAACATCTGCAGTGCCTTAGTAGTCTTATCTTCAGTATCCCATTTTCTGCTAGTAGTAGACTAAAATTCAACCTTGATGAGAGACACCATACTGCATCTAGATCAGTGGATTGTTCCTGTGCAAGGTTTTACACTGATCTGCTTAAGTTATAATAAATGAGTATATCAATACCAAGACTGTGTGGGGTTTGGGGTTTTTTTAAGAAATTTCTTTTTTGGTTGGTTTGACTTTTTTGCATGGTGTGTATATAAAAACACAAGTTGATTCTTAAGTACAAACACTGCGGTTTCTTAACAGTTAACTGAATCATCAGTTTAAAATTAATTTTGTTCTTGATTTCTGAAGTATGGAGGAGCTCCAGGAGGACCAGCATTCCCTGGACAAGCTCAGGATCCTTTGTATGGTTATTTTGCTGCAGTGGCAGGGCAGGTAAACTTATAAAATGTTATTTATTTCTTGGATTTTTTTTTTTTTTCTGGGGAATAATTTCTAGATTAGCTTTTGGAAAGAGGAATGCCTAATATTTGCAGTGAGGAAAACCGGTGTTTCATTTTTTAAAAAAAAACCAAAAACAGAATGGTTTTACTTAGCCTATCTGCTATGTATAGCTGTATAGCTATACCATATAGCTATATACACACAGTAACTATACAGTTTGAGTAATGCTGTTAGTTTCTATATAGTGTGTGTGTATGTGTGTGTAAATGCATACATATATATACACACATGTATGCATGTATGCGCTATATTTCCTCTGTAAGTCTATACAAGGACTATATAGTTACATGAAAAGTTGTAACTGAATTGTGGCTCAGCTCTGGGCTGGGGAATGCTGGCAGTTTCAGGAGAGAGAAGCCAGAAACAATGGGAAGCATGGGCTGTGGAGATGGCCTGCCTAAGAGCAGGAAATGCTAATAAGAAAGAGATCGTTACATGGACTTAATAGACTCACAAATGGAAAAGCAGTCTTGAGTTGTGCCAATATCTGGGTTTGCTGGTGGGACAGAGTGATTATTCTTTTAGAGGAAAAGGCATTCACAACTTTTCGTTTAGGCCTTTCTTTTTCCTCCCTGTCATTCTGCACTGCATTTTTAATTTCTTTCCTGTAATTTTGTGGCATATATTGTTTTTGTATGATTATGGATGTTACTAGAAGTAAGTAGTTCTTGAACTATATAACAAAGTTTAGGAGCAAATAAGTTAGGTTTATTGAGCTGAAGCGCTGTCTTTGTTGGCCATATGTATAGCTATTTATTGCACACTTCTAGGGTGTGTGCAAATCTAATACTCTGCTCCTGGATCTATTATCACAGGTAGACATAACCACAACATGAAAGTTTGAATTCAGCAATATTAGCTGATGTTTAAATTCCCAGTTTAAGACTGTAATTTGGGTTATTTTTGTTCTCTACATTATTCTTTTGAATTAATAATTCACCATACAGTCTATATATTACCTCTTTAACATTGCTTATGAAAATATGTAGCTGGTGTATTTTTGTAGTAAAGGAGAACACTGGAATGACCTTTATGTAGTGAGGCAGGCCTCTCTGGTAAGGTGGAGCGCAAGCTAAATTCTGCTGAACGTGCTGACAGTTTGCCTGCCAGCTGAGATGCCTCTGCATCCAGGTGCCACCTGGCTGTGTGCCAGGAATCAGCAGTGGAGCCAGTAACTGACCCTGGAAAAATGAGTAAGCTCCTAGTGTAAAGAGAAAGGGAGGTAACAGCAAACAGGATGCAGTCCTGTGGAGAAGAGGCGGCAGGAGCTGGACCTCAGCAAAGCATAGACCATCCCCAGGCCTCTCAAGTGAGGCATGGTTACTGAAAAGTGGGGAACCAGTGAGCTAATGGGTATGATCAAGTTACCGCTTAAGAGTACTTAAGTTAGTACTCTTAAATACTTTCTATTTGTAGAAATTATTCCTTATTGAAATAAACTGGGTAGCTTTTGAAATGTTATCCTTGGAATTGGAAGAGTCAGTTTCAGAGACCAGTGGCTGTGCAGAAGTAAAAATCCTGTAAGGAGACAGTGAACTGGAACAGATAAATTATCACTTTCTTTTACAGCCATCCGTCTGTAAAAAGCCACGTCTCACAGTTTTCCATAAATACTTATTGTAGAATTAGTAAAGTTTTTGGCTATGGTTTGCTGCTCTCTCTGTTGTTTTTATGCCTATATAATATATATATATTATCTCTGAACTTTCTTTGAAGATGTTGTAAAAAGCCACGTCTCACAGTTTTCCATAAATACTTATTGTAGAATTAGTAAAGTTTTTGGCTATGGTTTGCTGCTCTCTCTGTTGTTTTTATGCCTATATAATATATATATATTATCTCTGAACTTTCTTTGAAGATGTTTACAACAGAGATCTCATCTTAGATTTGAGGAATTAGTTTTCTTTGTTTATAGAAGAAAGTCCAAAGTATTGTTTCAAATCTTTATTAAATTAATTGAGTCTGTCTTTGTAGGAAGTAGTAATTTTCTTTTTTTAGTCTGTTCGCAAAGCCCCTATGCCTTGTCTAGTTTAAATGCTTAAGTTGTACTTAAAGAAAAAAAAAATAGCCAAGCATCTTTTTGGTAATGTCACTCATGCTTACAAATCATGCTTTTCTGTCTTCCTGCCTATTTTAAATTATGTAGACCCTGCCTTTGTTTCAGAAGGCACAAGGGCTTTGAAGCGATTTGCTGCTTAATATGCATGGCTATTTCAAATATCTCTTTTTTTTTTTTTTTTTTTAATTTTCCTGTGAATGTAAACTTTTAAATACATCTGTATAGTTAGTCTGATGGAGTAGATTGGAAGCAGTTTTGGGTTTAGATGCCATTAATTTTACATAGAATCAAAATGTTGATTTTTTTTTTTTCAGACCTTGTCAAATATCATTTAACATACTACCTATTTGTCCTATAAATAATTATACTTCATTTCTAAAAGTTACCTGGCTGTGCCATTCCCACCATGCTATTTAGTAGCATATCTCTGTTTCTAAAAAAAAGAGAAAAAAAATGCTTACTGGATTTAAAAATACTAGGAAAATGCTGAGGCAAATAAATTTGCTTCAAATATAAAGAAACTCTCTTTTCCCTATTTAATGCTTTACAAAAGTTGCATCATTTTTTATATCTACAGATATAATATTCCATCCCTGAATGAGGTTAAATTAAACTCAAATTCTCTGTGAACCGAACGTCAGGTTGGGTGTGTGAGGAATGTGACCTAGAATTCCAGCTCCACTTTTGACAGCTCATTGTTTTCCATGAATTGGCAGTTGCTTTCTCTATTCAGCCCCGAGCAGGATGCATTGGAAGTGAGTCATTTTCCAAACCATGCAGATAGGTATTTTTGCTTTGCTTTCTGCTTTTGTTTGTTCTGCTAACAACTTACTGTTCCCCAAAAAACAGGTTTTTTAGATCTGGGTTCTAGGTTTCCTACTGTAGCAGTGAGATCATAAACATATAATCTAAAGTGACTACAATACCCACTAAGTTAAAGGAAAGCTGTCCTTCTGTTCAAAATTTTGCACCTTGGTTTCTATGCAGTTTGCTCTCAAGTATATGCTACCAATATTTGATGTGGGTTTGTTTGGGGCTTTTTTAAAGTTAAGTTTAGAGCAAACCTGCCAATCCTGTTCATTTTTTAGTACATCACTAGATGGGAAAGCTAATGCATATTGCAAAAATCTCAACTAAAGAAACATCATTACAGATATGGGTTATAAAAGGCATTTTTTGTCATATAGCAGACAGGTAATCGGTTGTTTTTTGAAGGGGTGACTAATTTAATGGCACTGAAAAGGGAGTGGGTACTGGGAATAACCAGCTTGGGAGAGGGAATTAAAACAATAGCTGATACATCTTCTGTTATCGAAAGGATGGACAAATAGATGCTGATGAGCTACAGAGATGTCTCACCCAGTCAGGGATTGCAGGAGCGTATAAACGTAAGTTAATGATTTAAATAAACCAAAAACACCCCAACCCGAAAGCATACTAATTCTTATGCTATCTACTAGAAAATGCTCGACGTTGTGCCTTCTGCAGAGGTTTGGGTTTTTTATTTGCATGGTGGAAGGGCTTTCTTTCCATATGGTCTACTTTGAAAGGTAAATTCTCTGTATTCAGTTCTGTGCCCATAAGTCTTCCCTTCTCAGCCTCCTTAGTTCCCCACTGCTGAGCTGTGGAATTGGAGGAGTGTTTTGTTTTGTAATGGACAGCCAATTCTTAAAAAAGGTGTTTTGCTTTGTTTTTAAATTGAGCTTTGATATTGACAACAAAATTCTGTGGCAGGACTCCTCTGTTGGGATACCTACTGTTCAATTTACAAAATCGAGCTTCTGTGAGTAAAACTGGCTTCCTCAAGTGGTGTCTATGGTGAAATATAAATGATCGCTTTGACTGAAACCCGAAACCTTTATGGATTGAGATAAGAGCAAATTAATTTTAAATATAACTTGAATTTCTTCCAGATTGTCTGCTGTCAGTTTTTTTAACAAGTAATGATTAAAAGCTCTTATTTGGATCAAAATATGGTATGGCTGTATACAGTGGAAGCAGTTATATAAGATTTTATACATTATAATATATTATCAGTATATAATAAAAAGCAATTTAAAATGTTACATTTAGACAAAACTGAAAATCATTCTTTTAATATAACTTATTTTTCTTTTTTTAATTTAAATAGCTTTCAACTTAGAGACTTGCAGACTCATGATCTCAATGCTGGATGTATCCTTTACTATGAAATGTAAACATTTTTGCATTACGTAAGCAAAGATGAGAGGGTGCCCAAAATTTGGGAAATGCTTTGTAATTCCCATGCAGCTCTTACTTGGTGTAAGTATTATGATCATTATAATTGGGGAACTACAAAATTCCATTCTTATTCATTTTACTGGATGAAATAATAATTCTAATAAATGAGGCTCTCAGTGACTGGGCTTGGGGAAGAGTGGCTGGAAAGCTGCCCAGGCGCGCAGGACCCGGGGGGGCCGGGTGG